ATCATTTTTTTTTCTGTTGTTTTGAATTGAGTAATAAATTTCTCTGTGTAAAATAAATATAGACCAATTCCCAGTGTAGAACAAAAAGCAATCGTCGGAAACGTGAATTTAGCAAGCAATCTTGATTACAATCATGGTGCCATTATAAGGATTTATATGGGTATTAACAAGGTGCTTTTGCTCCTAAACGAACATGGGGACCCCTCATTTTTATTTCAAAACTTAAGTTCCTATAATATAAACAATCAATAGGCAAAGTTTCACAAAAATCTCAGTACAGGTTCTATTTCAGTGGAATGACCTTAAGAGAAGTTTTTCGTACAGCGGAGCTCAGTTGTGGAACAATTTACCTATAGACCTAAGACAAGCATCTTCACTGACCGATTTCAAATCTAAATTAAGCCGCCACAGTTTAAAGTAATATCTCAGTAATTTAAAGTAAATTTTTAGACAGGGCCTCCATGAAAAGCAGTTCTTTTTTTTTTTTTTTAATTTTTATTGTAGTTAGAGAGATAGGTAGATAGTCCAGTAACTTTGTTGACTGATGGAAAAACCGTATATTAATCTTACCTTATCTTATCTTATCTCTTATGTAAGTGTTATTTTGCTTTTATACACGGCTTCCTTGTAAAGCAGGTTTTTTGTTATTTCTTTTATTGTAGTAGTTATTAGTGATTTATTAGTTAAGTAATTGAACTAATTTAATTCAATATTGTTAAGTCCTGAAGGAAATACCGTGTCTAAATAAACATTTTACAATTTACCTTTACCCATGGGCGTACGAGCTGGGCAGGCGGGAGGACTCCACCCCCNATTTTTCGGGCAAAACCCTCATGATTCGGGCAACGACACTTGGGAGAAAACATTACATCCAAAGCGCGAAAAAAAGTTTCTACTTTTTATGAATCTCTGTGTGATTAGACGCCCGACCGGGAGTCTGGAGGCCGTCAAGTGGTTTGAGTTGGTACCTTAAGTAGTACCGAGTTAAGTGTACCATTTGTATCTGCTGCTGATCTAAAGTATCCTGGGCACACCGAAAATGCCATGGTAATCAGTCGCGACACCGGCCTTTCCTTCCTTTAATTTCCGGTTTTTCCTTTTAGGTTTCAAGGCTTTAAGCTAATTTCTCTGTCATTTTCCTTGCAAAAAAAGGACTTAGACTGAAATGATATGAGTGACCCCGGGTTTTCTTTTAGCTACAAGTCGGTTAAATGTGTATCGTGGAAATCTACGATAAGGATATTGTTTCCTTTACGTGGCTCATTCGATCCGTGAAAAATTATTTGCTTAGGTTTATTTTAGCGATTTCACATTTTTTTTTCTCACTCTCTTTGCCTTTATTTAACTACAGTTTTAAATTTTGTCGTTTCCAACCATGCATTGGCCTTGCACAAAGTTATTTCATAAGCCCCTTTTTTTATCTCACATTTGAGTCCGTTAATGTATAATGAACGTTTCTATGGCAAATTTTAGCGAAGCTATTTTAACTGATTAATGTATAGCAAACAGATCATTCTTCTCTTTTGCTGTAGCCTATGATTGATTAAATAGTAAATGCGCTTGTATCACGTATAGAAAGATCTTTCTAGGTTTCTTAACCAATCAGTTAACGGGGGGAAATATTTGCCAAAGTGGTCGGTCCGTATCGAGAAAAACTATCATGTATGCCCTTGGTTTTGAAACAGCCCTCGACCTAGAACAATGTGCCTTATATTCGAGACCCGTGTTTCTCAATACGGGACTCCTGCGGCAAACAACAGACGTATGATCTCTGTCGAGCTGATATCAGCTTCATTTCCTTTTATCAATTATGTTAACATACCTATGATTGGACGTTCATTCTTGATCTTCTGGTCTCGTCGGTGAACAAAGGGCCCGGCGAATATGTCCATTTCTACTGCTAATGAAGTTTGTATTACAATAATTGTGAATACAAGTACCGCCATCCTTTCTCCCTTCATTTTTTCCTTTCTTCTTATTATTATCTTGTGGATGGTTTATCGTATTTACTGGCACGGGCTCAATTTATTCGAGTCAAGGTTGTTTATTTACCTGCCTGATTGTCGATTCAGGCGACCGTTGATATTATGGAGGTCAGCTGGTCAGCGAATTTGTGAAAGCCAGCCCCACCCTGCACAATGACCTTGTGGGAATGCTGCTCAACACCAAGGTCAGTTAAAAAAAAAAAATAAGAAGTAGAAGAAAGGAAAATTCAAGGAATCCAACCTCGAGGATCTATTAGTATACTCATGCCTATACATAAACACTTACACACTGATGAAAAAGTGATTCCAAATACAGTTTTAGAAACGAAGCACATGAAGTGGATTTTCATTCGACGGGTTGAACCTAGCAGGTTGCAGGTTTCGAGACTTGGAAGGTTATTTATGTTTGGAAGTTTGAGTTATAATTAAAAATTTTCCTCCTTTGAGCCGTTCATTGTAATCCCTATAAAAGTAAAAAGTTTAAAACAACACCGACCAAATGTAGTCATTCATTTCTTTAATCATTTGTTGAATTATAATATTCATTGAGGAACAATCAGTAACAGTTGGTGCCAATTTGCAGGTGACTTCTTTGTGATTCATTTGTTTTCATTTACAATATTTGTTTGCTTACTTCATTGTTTCCAGTTAGTACACAGTTCTAAATAAAGCGATTTCGACGCTTAAATAAAGCGATTTCTTTCTTTTCTTTTTTTTTTTTTTTGCATTGCGATACTCCAGCATTTGAATTGAAAAGGATTCAGTTGTCCAGTTGTCTTACTGTGAAAAAAATATTTTAGGACTCGTAAGCAATGGCAGGCTTGTGCCTGCAGTATTGTCGAAACTTTAGTTGCAGAGGGAACGAACAAAAGTTAATGCTTTTTATCCTCAGTTTACTGATGACGTGTTTAACGAGAGAGAGAATTGGAACGGTTACTGCGATGTGGACCACGGTTTCGGCAGTCATGCGCAGTCATGAGAGAATCTGTTTACAAACGGTTTAAGCGGGAAATTGAGCTTGTCGCGAAAATTAAGAGTACCGGTAGTGGTACCTATTTCTTTCGTGACTAGGTGTCACATAAGGCCACCAATAGAACAAGTTTTAAAGTACTACTCATAATCTTTCATTTAAATGGTCCCCCAAAGGGACTTCATCCTCCAACGTAAAAGTTTGAATNCCCCCAAAAAAAAAAAATCGGGCGCTTACCCAGGTGGCAAATAGGGGAATGACCTCCAGATATGGAGGCTTTCTGCAACTACGGTACGTACTAAATAAGCAGTCGTGGCCGAATGGCGGTGGTTAAATCAGCGAGGAGACAACCCCAACCAAAAGCTCCACCTACCTCAATACATGGGAACCAGGGCCGCCTCTAAAGCCCTTGCCAGCCAGTCGGTAAGACAGTAAATCACATAGGAGAGGGAAACTCTAATTTTATACCTAAGCAGATGGAGCTCATCAGCACTTGCACTGCAGTCATCTAAGGGAGGGAAACCCTAACAGAAAGAAACCCTGGCCCTCCAGGTTAGAGGTTAGGCTAAGGGCAGGTAACCCTCTCACGTAAAAAATAACCTGTTACATAAACCACAAAGAGTTGCAATGCCGCTCACGTAAAACAACAAGATAACTTTACCGCTATTTGCAAGGTTTTTCCAGCTTTGTGAACAGAAGTGTCCAATGCTTTAAGGAAACGGTCCTTGCCTTATCAAAGATTGTGTTGCAGCTTCGCTAATACTAAGTAAAGGTTTTCAAGACAGACCAAAACTCTCGTCCTCTTCCGGCGGTCCTGTAGTTTTGTAATACGAAAGATTTACAATTACGTGAATGATTCGATTTAGCGCCTAGGGCGCTAATTTACCTTGGGAAGCTCAAGGTAGGGCGCTTCAGTGGAGAGGGATGGGCCGGAGATCATTTCCTTAGATGTGATACCATTACTTTAAGTGCCACTAACCCCAAAACCTTTTTTTCGCTAAAATAAATTTCTTTTTTTCCTGATCACCACTGCGAAAATATTGTCGTTGTAGCTATTTTCGTTAATTTTGCATGAATTTTCAAAGTTTGTAAATTTGCCCTTTTCCATGTTCACGACCGAGGAACAGCGGAGAATGGGACGAGTTGGCTTCTGACGTCATTTCGGGAATAACATAGGCAGGTACAAAAGTCGGACCGGATCAACTCGGACCGTCAGCCCGGGTCGGATCAACTCGGATCGACTCGGATCGACTCGGATCGTCTCGGATCATGAAAAAAACATAAAATTAAATGAAATTGAAACTTTTTCTTATTTGAAAGTTAAAATTCCGGTCAAAAATGGGCCAAATTAAGAAAGACTCGCGACGTTTCTCCGTGTCGTGCTGTGTAGCCAAGCCGCCATTTTGTATTCTAAGTGCCAGTTCCTCTCGGACTCGTCTCATGTTCCTCCATCCAACCATCAGTCGATCTCCACGATCATGGACCAAGATGAAGGTAAATCTTTCTCAATGAATTTGCATCTGTCCACCAAATTGATAGTTTCAGTCATAACCCATTTCTGTTACGCTGCGTAAGTTCGTTCAGCTCAATTTTCGCGCTAACTATAAAATTACTTTTTTAATTACTTGAAATACCTTTCGGATCGTCGTCCTCCTCAAAAACTATCTTCAGGATCTTTGAAAACCGTTTTAAGTTCGCTCGTATAAAACGTCAACCATTTTGGACTGAAATCCCTTGTCGTCAAGCAAGCCAAGTTTTGCTTAATGATGAGCTAAATCTATCAACTTCCTGTTCTCCAAATTAGGAGCCAAACGCCGGGAGGTAAAGCGAATTTCTACGAAATCACGATGCATGATGTTACACTTTTTGCACTGGTGTTACACTTGAACTGCACTGCTCTTAGCCAATCAGAATCGAGTAATTTTTTCATTTGTATTATTATACTGGAAATAGAGACTTCTCTAAACGAATAGTAAACGAAACCTACGTCCTACAACGAGGCGATTATGATTGCTTAGGTTTCGAACTGGTGAACTAGCTATTCATTTTTTTACCACAATTGCTGCTAATCTCGCAATCTGATTGGCTAATGTGCCGTTATCGATAAGAGTCCACACCACGCTGCTCGCGTCAATGTGTCGCGCTTTTCAGCTCGCGCTCTGAAAAAAACATTTTCTTTGACGATGACATTGTGGTAAAAAACAAATCGAAATGTGGTTTAGCGTGGTCTGACCTCTTATTGACAACGAGTACGCGTCATTACTCTTTCCCACAGCATTTTTTTCTTATTGTTTCTACATGTTGAGCGAGTACTATTTTTTTGCCAAATTTCTTGAAATTCTAACGACTGGATCATCAGAAATCCGCAAGTTTCTGCAAAAGAAATCGGTCTCAATTTTTCGAGCAACTGCGCATGCGCTGCATTTAACTGGGTTCTTTCGGTAACAAAGAGAAAGCTGAGAATTGCTGGTTTCTTTGCGTCGTTACCTTTACTAACATATCTTTGTAATAAAAGACTAAAGCCATCGATACACTGCGTTCAATAATAGAGAAAAAATAGCACAGATAGTGCGGGTGTTGAGTAAATAAAGTGATCGCTCTTTGCAATCCTTGTGCGCGCGCTCAATTGCATCAGCAAAAGCGCGCGCGAAAACTGTGTTCGGCCACCTTAAGTGGATTTTTATAAAAACACGCGCTCGCCGGAGGTCGTAATCCCGCCGTGTTTCTCAATGGCCATTCCGAACACGTAATTCTTTTGTTCTTTGAGCTTCGTCTTTGGGGAACGAAATATATCTAGATGACAAACTTAGAATGTACAATTGTTAAAAAATCTAAATCTTGTATCTAAGTATTTATTTAGCTAAAGATTATTTTGAATTTCGCGTTGACCTCTCGATGTTTGTGGATTGCTTCGAGAGTTTGATTTTATTGTTTGGTTGAATCCGTTAATCCCAGGAGAGGAGGTAGCCTTTTTCACTGATTAATCTGTGTTGTTTGTGTTTTTGTTGCTGTTGTTTCAACTATCTCTTATCAGGTGTTTAATCTATTGTAGTATCAGTGTAATACAGTGAAAGTCATTTGCAGAGTTATCTGTTATTGCGCTAGACCTGTCATCTTTGAAAATTATATCACTAAACGTAAGGGGATTGCGTAATGTTGGGGAAAGGAAAGCAATTTTTTCTTACTTGAAGAATCAAAAGCCTTCTATATTCTGCCTGCAAGAGACTTTCTCAAATAGTTCAAAGAAAGATGATGAAAAGATATGGACTTCAGAATGGGGTAGCAAAATTATTTTTTCTCATGGCACAGAGCACGCCAGAGGTGTATGTGTTATGGTAAATCCAAATAGCTTGTTTCAAGAAAAAGGTGTAGAAATAGATCATGAGGGTCGGTTCATAGTAGCCAAACTAGACGAAGATTATTCAAAAGTAAATATTTATGCTCGAACTGATTATCGTCAACAAGTAGTATTTACAAGAACACTCAGTCAACTCTTGGTGTCAAAAATTATTTTATCAAAAGCAGGAGCCATAATCGGGCTCCTGATCAAAAGTTATAATAGCAGTTGATTGGAACACGGGATTAAGCAAATTGAATAAAAGCGGAGGATTGCCTTGGAAAGAGACTAATTACAGGAATGCACTTTTAAGCATAGGCGGATTTAGGGGAGGGGCTGAGGGGGCCGCGTCCCCCCCCTTTTTTTTTTCTTGTATTTTCAAAACGTTTTTGTACGACCCCAACCCTTCTGACCGTCCTTTGTGGTTGTTACAATTATACAATTAGGTTTCAATTGTATTCAATTTCAGAGCTTTCCTTATTTAAAATATATTTTGTGTTAACAATCATAATATATTATCAAATATTCAAACAAACGTAACCCAAAAATTAAAATTCGCGCTAATTGTTAACGCCAAATGTAACAGGCGTTTCTTTCGGTTTGAAATGACGAGAAACACTGGACACGAATATTTTCACGCCGTGTCCCTTGCTGTACTGCTAAAGAGTGAAATATTTTTCTGAAGTTTTCGAGGAAAGCAAAGAAGACACTTTCTACATTTCATCGTGGACCAGGTGAGTACGTTACTTATTTGACCTAAGTTAAACGTAATCGGTTTTTTTTTAGATCTGCAGTATCTGTCTGTTGGCGGGCAACGTTCGAGCTCTGCCTTGGAGACTTTGTTTGGTGATCATCCGCTCCAGCGAAAAGGCAAATGAAGTAAAAATATTAAACTTTAGCTTACATTAAAGCACTCAATGTAATGATTTGTCGCAAAA